GCGAGAAATTCAGATTCCGTGATTATGATCAACTTATGAAAATTTCATACAAGAATTTATTTTATGATGGTAATGGTATAATACACATACCCAAAAGTTATAAACATATAAATTGTATACTTATATATAAATTCATATATGCAGATGTTGTTTATGTAATAGTTAAAGAAAAGATTAATACAGATAATACAGTACAAGGTACTGGACAAAGAAGAATAAACCTTGACCTACAATTAAAAGTGTTAGTAACTATAATTTTATTAAATTTTGTAAACAATCAACTACCACATCAAAATTATACAATAGTTGCCATAAATGTTTGGTAATGCATATAAAATTAAATTTATATTAACTTGCACATCTATTCAAAAAATTTTGGTAACATTTTTTAAAAATAACTAAATTATAACAATAATAACTATATAACAGGAGAATCAAAGTGTGTATAACTATATGAGACACTATGGTAGGTAGATATGTACCATAAACAAATGAAAAATAGGAAAACATATGATGTTACTCTAATAATAACAAGTGTGAATCTCAAAATATATTCAGTTTTATATAAAAAAAGCATATTTCATATTAATAAATTACTAATAAGTTTTAACAATAAATTTTTTAAATTAACAACATAAACTATATGTTACTTTTACTTAAACACAACGTCCACTTCTAAAATATATCAAGATGATCCATTAAGTACTATTCATTCTTTTCCAAAAAGGGTAATTTTAATTAAAATATATGTCATTTATAGTATAAAATTTAAGTAAATTGTGATCAATATAGAACACATCAAATACAAATGAAGGCTGAACAAATTTTAAGAAAAGTAAATGATGATATTGTCAAAATTACAGAAATTATAGATTCCGTTGCCAAAGATTTGTCTGGGGTAAAAAAAATTCAATTCATTTAAAAAATAATAATAACTTAGTAATTATATGCAATCTTGATTGTTAGGAAAAAAGAGTTTATCATTGAATCAAAAATTATTGAAATTAGTTCAAGACATGGATGGAATTATATATCATGTAATCATTGTGCTAAAATATTTCAGAAAAAAAAAAATTAAAAACTCACTTGCAAAAAATGCACAAAACCATATATTGTTGGCATATTATTGTAACATAGAAAAAAAAATATTTTGTAGTTTTGTTACCAACAAATTATTAATACCAAACACATTAAAATATGTATAAACTTGAGATTATTGTCAAAAATAACTCGGATTCAGTTTTATTAACCACATTCAACAAAGACATGACCCGTATTTTGGGTAGATCAGCAATATGCTTAATTCAGTTTCACGTAAGTATAAAAATTTAATAATTATTAAACTATGGTGTATAATCAGAAATTAATATTTTAAATTACTATATGCAGGAACAATCATATATATAATGATTCAAGTGATAATGCAATTATCTCCTACTTTTCAGAAAAACTTATCGGAAAAATTTTTAAATTCAAGGTTAAGGTTCATCCTACAATTATCAGTCAAGTTCAGCTCGATTAATGGTTACAAGTATTATAGACAACCAAACTATTAATGAAGAGGCACAATATATTTGGAATATAGTTTATTTTTGTAAATAAAAATCAGAAAATTAATAAACTTACATTTCATTTTAACAGTCTATTATAATAAATAAAATTGTTGACAATGCGGACGGGATAGAAGAAACCAATGCTTCTAAAAGAAATAAAACAAGGAAAAGAAGAATATCAACTACATCGAAAGATTTAAAACAAAGTGAAGCTAACAATCTAAATGAAAGGGAAGAAGCAATTGAAGAAGTCAAACGGCCACAAAAAATGAAAAAAATAATTGAAGACTATTATGTTAATTAATTTTACTATGCTATATACATAACATTAAAATTTACATATTTTCAAACACAATTTATAATTTCACTCTTTTATTATGTAAGATTATTTTAAAAAAATTTTATCTACATACAAAATAATTAGTTATTTAATGATTCAAATGATTAATCAACATTTAAATATTATATGAAGATAACTTAAAATTAGAAAAATAAGCATCATTTCTCCCGCGCATCTACGCGCAGGTAATTTCCTAGTATATGTAAAATGATATGGGCTTTTGATCCATACATCATATTTTGATTAAAAAACGTTTCAAAAATATTGAAGTTTTATGTTATGTCCGCACAAACCTGCTGAGTAATTTTCAAATATTTATAAATATATATAGGGTTATTTCCAAAATTACTCAAAACATGAAGTCAACCCCAAAACTAACCTATGGTTTTTTGGATTTTTCTTTTGCCCTATTTACCACAAAAGTTCTCATTATTTACGAAAATGTCATTAGTTTTTTTTTTTCTTTTCGAAAATGTTTTTTTTTTTTACTTTCTCAATCTCACCATCTTCAAGTATTTACAAGATTGTCATTGCCATCAATACACCAACCACCATGAACAACCAATTTGAAGCTCTTAATGCACCTCAAATCGATTTGCGCTTCTTCTTTCTCAATTCTTATGAACTAAAAACAATATATCTTTCACTTTCTCTTCATATTCATCCAAACCCCCCCCCCCTCCCCAAAATTTTGATTCTAATTTTTTTTGGTTCATAGAGCCATTGAAGCGTACGATTTTTGGTGGATAACTTTTGTTTGAAATTATAGGTGCTTGGAGACACTTCTGTGTGTTAAACAAATTATCTAACTGGTTAAAACTATGAAATCAAGATTTTTCCAGATCTGTTTGTCCCGACGACTTCCAGGTAAGTCGTCTGTCTGTAGACGACTTACCTAGAAGTCGTCTGGTCAATGCAGAGGTTAGTTTTGCAATTGGTTTTTATTTTATTTTCTAGACAACTTACATATAAGTTGTTCACCTTTGTTTGATAAAAAAATTCGAGACGACTTAAATGGAAGTCGTTTATGATTTTATTCTGAGATTATTGTCAAACCTTGCTTATCTTGGACGACTTCCTGGAAGTCTTCTTCCTTTGAAATTTGCTGCTTTTACACCAATAGGCCGAACCATTGCTTCATCCTCTCCATGGCTAGTTGGCACTGTCATTGATGATTGGTCATCAAGCTTTCTTCTTTTTGAGCTCACAATTTCTTTAGTAGAAGATGCTCCACACCATTTCTGATCATGGCGAAGCTCTAACCATGCATGCTCAAGTGTGAACTTGCTCTTGTAATCATTGTAGAAAATTTTATGAGCCATCTTCAAAACATCATTCTCACTCTGTCCACTGGTTTTCTGTTTTGTTGCAGCATCATAACAGCCAACAAACTTACACACGCCTTCATTAATCTTCCCCACCTTTGTTTACAGTGATTAGGCTCTCTATTTTGCAGCCCAACAAGCTTTGGACATGAAAGCTGCAATGTTTCCAAAACACAATTGCTTTCTGCTCATTCCCAACAACTAGATCTTTGGAGGTGTTCAACCAAACACTGATGAGCACACCATCTTTAGTTGGTAACCATTTTTGTCTTTCTTTACAGTCAGAGACAATGTGTGCATATTCGTCTGCATCTTCAGCCCATGTGTACCGAACACAGAGGCATCAGACGAAGAGAGTTCTATACTATAGGTTCACGAGTGACAGACTGATAAGAGTACTGTTGTGTGTTTGGTTGTTGCTTGTTTAAGAGGTTTTGAAAGCTACAATGTTGAATATATGGATCCATAAACTTGTCTAAAGAAGAAGGAAACAACAGAGGAGAAGGAAATAGCAAAGGAGAAATGGCGTCTTGTTTTTAGTTGTTGAAGTTTTAGATAAATGTGTTAATGGCAATCACTATGTTTTACCTAAAACTAAAACAACCACGAAAACTAAATACAAATCACTTCAACGCAACTAACAAATAATGGTAATTTATGTCTATTTACCTCTTGCCAACTGTGAAATGCAAGAGAGATGCTTTGATGATGCTGAATCCGTTTGTGAGAGAGAGTGGGTTCCATAATGAATGCAAAAGATATGAGCCTGCAACTTCCATCCACGCACATCACCAATTCTTGCACAACCAACAAAGAAAGTAAAATTAAAAGTTTGGTTTAAATGGAACTAATAAAAGATATGAAAATAAAGACAACAAAATATTAGTATGATCATCTCAACCTAAATTCTGACACTACCACAAATTTTATATGCTTGTTAAGCATCGCTAAGCTTATACAAAACACACGAAACTTATTTCCCACTTAGCTTAAGCATCATCAATTGTTAAAATCAACCAACCAACACAAGATCATCATCATCACTTGTTAAATCAACCAACCCAAACTCTGTTTCTATGCAAAAGATTTGATTTTTTTCAATCTTCACACGAAGCTTAAGCATCATCACTTGTTAAAATCAACAAACCAACCCCAGATCATCATCATCACTTGTTTAAATCAACCAACCCAGACTCAATTTCTATGCAAAACATTCGATTTTTTCAACAGACATACGATACTCTACTACTACTGTACAAGATTTCACCTTCCTCAAGATCATCAAGGAATCATCATCGACATCAGTTTGTAACATTTATTTTCCTACAAACAAGGGATGTTCATACTTACAATATGATCTCACCTCTTGTATGAGTTTCATCCTGGCCTCAATCCTTGCTTTCTCTTGAAGTTGATTCCTCTGAAGAAGTTACTTCTATGTTCCGATCTCCATCATAGCCTCAGAGTATGGGAGAGTAACGACATCGAATCGACAGCGAAGGAGATCGACATCAGAATCGACAGAGAATCAACAGAGAAGATGGAGAGATAGAAGAGTTGACATAAAAGATGGAGAGATCGAAGAATCGACAGAGAATCACCAGAGAAGATGGAGAGATCGAGCTTGGAGGAGGAAAAGAGAAAAGGGGATTTCTCATGAAACCCCGACGAAGGAGAGAGAGACAAACATGGGCAATTAAAAGGTGACACGTAAGGGTCCTTCCCAACCCCTTTTTGTTTTTCTTTTCCCTTTTTGTTTTTTTCACCTTTTTGTTTGGAACCTCAGTTTAGAGGTTTGGATGGAGCTGGTCTAAGGACAACCTTATTGGTAGGTTCTACAACAAGATTTAATCAGTAAAAGGTTAAGGCAAAAAATGAATAGATAGAGAGAGAATCAGACAATTATGGAAAGAAGGAGAGTAAAGTTGCTGGTTGAGATACCCAATAAAAAAAATTATAATGTACTTTCCTAGCATGAAGTATCAATTAGTGATTAGCTCATTTTTTTTATCTGATTTAAAATTTATTTATTAACTAATTTAAATGAAATGATTAATATTTGCAGATGTGAGATATTGAAGTGAAGTTTACACCCATGGACATGCTCTACGATAATGATCCAATAAAAACAAGAGAGAATTGGAAAAAGGAGACACTTTGAATATTTATTTGGCCAAATGAGACTTTTGATATTTTTGGACAAATTGGACATGTTTTACCCTTGTGTAATAGAAAAAATAGTAAACTAAGTTTTAAAAATATAAAAAAATTTGTAAGTGTTAGTAAACATTAGTATGACTATTTATATGTTTAAATTTTTATTAGAAAAATTATGGAGTCATGTTTTATTTAACGTTATAGCAAAGATAGATTACTCATTCTAGCTATCTACTTCGTTTAGGAATCAGATAGTAGGTTTTACACATAGATGTAGCTTAGGTACAGAACATAAACAAATCATTCTTCTATATTGTACCTACGGTAGATTTCTTGAAAAAGTATTCTAACTAAATGTCTATAGTCTATTTTACGCATATCTCCCACTTATAACCGCGACTCTGACAACTACCCAGTTTGGATTATGTGTTATAACTTGATCTACCTTTTACGTTATCATAGGTGTAAGCTAGAATAAACAATCGACCCTCCCTTCATTACTCTGCTTAACGTAGATTACATATTATAGCTAAATCGAGTAAATATGGAAACTTCCATATTTTGAAAAATAACTTACCTAAATCTACACCAAATCTAACAAAAATCTTTAAAAAAATATTCTCTCCCACGATTTTCTCTCACGATCTTACTCTCCCTCGTTCTCTTCTTTGTCTCTCTCTTTTCCTCATCGACATAACCACCTCTTCTATCTATCAAACAACATGGTTCTAATCTATGTTACATCTGGTGTATGGATGTCAAGTTGCAGTGATCAATGGAGTTTCTTGGCAGACAAGGAAAGGCGTGGTCGACTGGTAACTATAGAAACTAAAACTCGGTTGGAGGAACTCAAAATTATGGTGTGTGAGGATTATGGGGTCGACCATATGCTCGTTAATGTTGAGTTCAGTTATGAGATGGTAAATCAAAGAGGGAATCCTCCAATTATAATCAGCAATGATCGACAACTATCTAATTTTGTGATGTATGTGAAGAAGGGTTCTTCTACAACCTTGTGTGTCACCATCTCTAGTACTGCTGCAAAAGAAAAGGAACGATTCAATTTTGATTTGAATAAGGAACCGTGTGACTCAAGTAACGTTGAGGATGAAGAAATTCATCAAAATAATCGAGGAGACTTTGTCAAAACCTCAACTGTTTCTTCTGAGAAGAAGCGTGTCGCTGAAGATGGTTCCGGTGATGCTGGTTTAACGAGTGAAAAGCAGGAAGATGGTGATAAGGATGGCCGATCTTCGCGAAATGTTTTTGTGACAAAGGATCAAATATTCAGAAGTAAAGCTGTCCTAAAGGCCACAGCTGAAATTTGGGCGATGAACAATAATTTCGATTATGTTGTTCTCAAATCGACGAGAAAATGGTGGTATATTCGATGTAAAGATTCAATATGTAATTGGACAGTGCGTGCACAATGTATAGATGGGTCTACATACTTCATGATCAACAAGTGTGTGGCAATTCATTCATGTGCGCCCTCTAAGAGAAGCAAATTTGGGAAAAAGGCGTCAGCAAGAACAATTGGGAGTTTGATACAACATAGATTTGAGGATCCCCATGAAGGACCAAAAGCGAATGACATAGTCCAGTATATGCGCCTGGAGCATAGTTGTGAGATTAGTTATTGGCACGCCTGGGAAGCTCGTGAGTTTGCAATTGCAGCAGTTAGAGGTATACCTGATCAAAGTTATGCAAAAATACCAAAATATTTGTATATGCTTAAAGAAGCTAATCCTGGTACGCATACTCACTATGAAACCACTA